GTTGGGTTCTCTGCAGACCCCCTAACAGTACTTACCAGGTTTAAGCTTGATTGCCTTTAGCTATAATTCTAAATGTCTATATTGTGTGAATATGTAACCATTTTTTTTTTTGTTTTCGAAAAATAAAAGTTTACAAATGTAAAAGATTCCAGCCTACAATTGATATATATTATCCTTTAGGAGAGGGTGAAAAATATGAAAAAGACACATAATTAGATAATTAATTTGCGACTGACGATTTTAGACGCATTAGTAGCACTATCTTATACTGTATGTCTACTAATATTAAGTACTGTATTCTACAACGGCTCCTAATGTATTTGTTTTTCAAGTTGATAATGCTAAGAAGCAACCTATTAAACTGTTTTGTTTGTTTAGAACTTCTGCTCTATGTCGTTTTTACAAAAACCAATAATAACAGAAAGTTGTATTTATAAGTAATCGGTTAACCCAAGGTGCGTGGATTTGAAATTAATGTAGTGTTAAACAACGAATTATCTCCCATTTGGAAAATCAAATACCAAAATTTTATTCAAGGGAAATAGCTTTCACATGAATAGCTAAATTAACAAAGTGTAACTAAAACATGCTTAAAAAAACAAAACAAAAACTCTTTACATTTTATTATATAATTAGTATATTTTTTATATTAATTATTTAACCCTGATAAACAATATATTTTACTAATTGACTACTTAACTGTAGGTTGTTTGAAAGTATAAACATAGTATCTTTATTATAACATACTTCTAGTCAATATCGATGACTTTCATGTAATTATATCTGTACATCATACATAAACTTTTAATTTTGGATCCCCAAAATAATGGGACATCTTTATAAAATCAAATACGTGTAACTGTTTAAGAATTAACGGGCGACACCATGTTACGCCGCTAATTAGTTGTTTTATTTTCTACTTTTCAGTAATTCATAATTGGTGAATTCGACACTACCAATGCTGCAACTGAAATCACGTTTTGGAACGCCCGTCATACGCTAAACCGATCACCAAATCAACATTAAAATTAGATAACCGTTTGAAATGTTCGAAATTTAAATTACGGACTTATTTAACCATTTTCTACATCAAATATGTGACACCAAAATAAAAAGGCAAAGTGACTGGTAAAACGCGCCCCGACCTTTCCAAATTAGGGTGGTGGGCAGGGGCGGAACTACCATACCGCCAGACCCCGCAATGCGGGGGGGCCCAGGACGTTTAGGGGCCCAGTTCCGACCAAAAAACAATGATTTTTTTTTCAAAAATTATGTTTTTCATGCATCTTGAAAGTGGTTTTTGTAAATAAAAAAAACCAGGTCTACTATAGCAGAGATTGTTGCGTAGAAAAATATTTTAAAACAGTGGTTCCCAACCTTTTTAGAGTGGCGACCCCTTTTTATAAAAAGAAAGTGACCCGCGACCCCTATAAAATTAAAAAAGCCGAAAGTAGTATGGACATTAATAAGGACTAAATTAAGATTTTCTAGAAGACATTCAATATGAACTGCTCTTGATAACTGTTTCAATACGATGAGTAAAATTGCATGCTATTTACTAAACATTCGCGGTTAAGTTTTTGTTAACGCCAACCTATGTCGTTATCAACATTAAATGTATTTCTTAATTTTGTTTTTAATCGGAGAATAGTGTTGAAAATCTATTCTCGAAAATACGTTTGGGTATGAATGGTGAATACTACACCAAAATTGTGTGTGCAGTTTTTCATCTTACGCGGAATCATTCTGCAAATCAAATAATTCATCTTGTAATTCATCGGTAATGCTGGCAACATCAAGGGAAGAAGAAAATGTGTAATGCGTCAATGCAGATTCTTCTTCTTTCTACTCAGATAAATGGCGCCGCAGTTAGTTTTCAATGATTCAAGATGCCCAGAAATCGCTTCTTTCAAAATTTTAATTATCTCACAATCAGATTCATCTACCACACTGCAGAGTTTCTCAAATTTGCAACACTTCCAAGATTTATTTTCTTCGCCAATTCTGCAGCTTTAATAAAAGTGCCCCGAGATTATCATGGAAAGTGATAATATTCGTTCATTTTCCGCGAAGCTTCAGGTTAAGCTTATGTTGATGTTCGAATGTGTATCTCCAACCACTCTATGTCGTTTTAAGTATACCAAAAGGTCTTGTTTCCTTTGCACTTCCAAGAACAATTTGATTTCAAATTTAATTCAAAAACACGATTCACAACAATTCGTTTGACAGCCAGCGTACTGTAGTGTAGAAAAGCAGAACCTCGTGATCTATATTAATGTCTTTTCTCAGTTTTTTTAAGGTTCCAGATTTAATATAATGTACGACTTTTACTAGCAATGGAGTCTTGATGGAGAGGGCATACTGGTGAATCATGCAGTGGTTAGGGAGCTATATCTTTTCTGTTTTCTGAAAGCCCGATTTTGACCTAAACATAGATGGCGCACCATCCGTACAAACCACCACAGCCGTTTTAACCCATTTTAGTCATTACATTAAAAAAAAACGTTTTATTTTCTCCATGCTATCTTCACAAAATAGCAACTCTTCTTTGCTATTATCTGAATGAATATAGACAAAGACCAGCAAGCAACTGCGAACACGAACTCACGTCTGTTGATTTATCAACTTGAAAAGCAAACAATGGTGAACGCTTGATTTCATTCAAAAATTTGTTATTTAACATTTAACGACATGTCTGCTTTAAGCCGCCGAATAGAATTATTAGGTAGAGATATTTGTTGCATCTTTACTGCACTGGAATCCCCAAGAATTAACTTCACCATCTTCAACATGCAGCGTTTGATGAGAATTTCTCCTACTGTGTTTTTTTTTGCTTGGAAATTTCTATCAGGAATTCATTTGATGCTTGCACTAATGCTGTGTTTCCTTGGTGAAAACTTCCTGTTCGATCAAGTCTCTGACGTTAGCAACTAGCTTCATGCCGACGAAAGAACTCCATATCTTTTTGGTGTGTTCAGAATGACTCGTCTCAAATGACGTTTTAGTTTTGAAGATTTCATAAACTCGTGACTGAGAACAACTTTGTACAGTACTCATTGCTTCTTCTCTATTCCATTTCCAGGTATGTTAGTAAAGCCGAATTTCAGACATTCTTCTAAATATTTATGTTTTGTTTCTCATTAATAAGGTTTAATATACCAGTTGGCGACCCCCCAGAAAGCCCTTCGCGACCCCCAGGGGGGTCGCGACCCCCAGGTTGGGAACCCGTGTTTTAAAACCTACAAGAGCTATAGTTTGAAAGGTAGACAAACATTCACACTACTTCCATGACTTACTGCCCTTCTTTAAAATAGGGATGCCCACAAAGCTCATTTAAATAGTTTTGTACTATGTATATTAAAAAGCAATTGATTCTCTGAATTATTATTTAAATAAGATGTACTAAACAATGGTATAGCTATAAAAATCAATGTTTTCAAAATTGATATTATAAAAGCCAAAAATGAAAAAAATAAACATAACGCGAGAAACCATTCACGAATCAAGCTTACTTATGCCTTTATATATTTTTCAACCAGCAAAATTTCCAACTGATAAGATGATAATTTTTAGCCCATGATAAGTTTGGACTAAATTTGTCTGGTTTGTTCTCTCGGAATGGTTATATATTGCAATGAAGTAGACTAAATTACTCAGGATATATATATATATATATATATATATATATATATATATATATATATATATATATATATATATATATATATATATATATATATATATATATATATATATATATATATATGGCCCTAATTTTTTCTTTGCGGGGGAGCCTTTTTTTTCTAGTTCCGCCACTGGTGGTGGGGTGCATTTTCACCAGCGCGAATAAATGTAGGCATATATAGGCCTAATTTGATGGTGGGGGCGCAAAATTGATAGTTTGTCCTGGGCGCCAAAATAGATTGCTAGGCATTTGTATTTTTAGCATCTATAGTTTATAAAAGATAATCATAGTTATTAATTATGAGGTACTTTTTGATAATGGCGATTATACATTTTTGCGCCCCACTATGGATGGCGCCCTAGGCGACCGCCTATTTCGAATTATAGGTAGCGCCGGCCCTGCATATATAAAAAGACAAAAAACAACACCATGCATGTGTGATTCTTTACTTAATATCTTTACAGAGCGACAAACAGTATTTTAAACACAATTTTAAAAAAATAATCTTCCATTTTATAATTTTAGATGAAGTGGAAAGGGGTGGGGGTGTTTGTCTGAGGCATCTTTTCGGGGGGGGGGGGGCACCGCACTCTTCCCCCTCCCCTTAGTCCGCCGTTGACCCCCCCTCACTGAAAGTCCCCCCCCCCCCCTTGGAGAAGTAAGATATACACTGCCATCCCCCCCACCCTCGGAATATTTTGGTCCAGCTACCACCACCCCCCCCCTCCGCCCCGAATGTTTTAAGTGCACCCCCCTCCTTTTGGAGGAAAACATCTAAAGGAACACTGGTTGGGGGTAAGGGTGGGTGTGTGTGTTTGGGGGGGGGGGTCGAATAATATATTAATTATTAATATTATATAAATATATTAATTATAGCAAAGCAAAGAACGCCGCCATCGTTTAATTAGCACTAAGGTTTATTTTTTTAAATTTCGACCATCACAACCAGCACACACCGGAAAAACACATGCCGCCTAAAATCATTAACAACAAAGAGAATAGTCGTGGCATAAGTGAAGGTCGTTCAACACGTACTCTATTCTTGACGCCACTGCTGTTTACATGTGTAGCACTAGTCGTAGTGTCCCGTTTGTTAATTGCACGAAGTTACGGTTTTATTTTTAGCCAGAATGCTGATAGTGTAGTAAGGAAAATATACTTTATTAAAATTGCAGAAATTATTTTTAGAACATTCCCTATTATAGGTTAGACTACTATCAAATACAAAATAAAATAACGATAATACAGCTGGTTTTGTAAAATCTAATTTATAATCTTAACTCGACCCGGAAAGGGAAAATAGTTAGGCCTAGTTATAAAACAAAATAAGTCTGTGTGATACTGCGAACAAAACATTAAACGAAATGAATAAAAATCTGTGTTAATGTATCTGAAGTGTGGATAAGTGGTGTACTTGTATTTAAAAAAAATGAAAGTCCAAAAATCATTGGCGTTTTATCTAACGGCGAATTCGTTGTTCAGCTGAGCATTGTGCAACCTTCTTTGTAATGTTTACAGAGGGCGCTTCAGTGTATTATGAATGACGTCTATAGAAAACACTACCAAATAACAGAAAACACCGAGAGATGTGCTATCGAGGTCACTCGTGAAATTGTTCACTTGTGTCGTTTGATTTGCGACTTATGCGCATTATTATGTGAAATATTCGGCTTGAATGTGGTGTTTAAATATTTCTGTTTCATTTATTTTAAATGGAATATATAAAAAATGAAGATCCGTAACATCACTTCACTAAACTCGGGCAGGAAATTTTTTATGCTCTCTTCATTTTCAAAATGGTGGTCACTTGTTATTGTGTTAAGTCTAGCATTTAATTTGCCTTACGTGTCTTCGGACGACCCTTCACTATTATCAAAAGACACTTTGGGAAAAAGATATCGCATAGCAGATATTACTTATTTGAATCCATTGACGCAAAAAACCGAAAGTATTAGTGGAAAATTTGGAATAAATAGCATCGAAAAACCAGTAGCTGGAATTGTGATCAGTCCGAAATCGAAGTCCGATTCTGGCAAAGAAATAAATAATCTCGGCTGCTCAAGATACCAAGATACTACAATCCCCAATGATAGCTGGATTGCTTTAGTTGAACGGGGCCTTTGTTACTTTTCTGACAAAGTAAAAATTGCAATTAAAGAGAGCAACGCATCAGCTATTATTATTTACAATAATGTTACCACCACGGGTGATTCTCACTCTGATCTCTACAATTCACATGTAATCGATATGGATGGACAAGATAAAAAAGGTGGGTGACTTTTTAAAAAGTTTCTTAGCTTTGGGTTTCGTTAGTTTATGGATTAGTTATATAGCTTACTGTATTTACAAACATTAGCTCTTGTGATGTCATTAAATCTGTTAAACTCAGTAGCATTGTATAGTATGTAGATCTATAGTAATAGGCTAATAGGGCTAGGGGCCTAATGTATTTTCAATTTTCTATGAACTAGTTGTAAACAACAATCTACATCCAGATCTTGGTTGTGTGTTTGTGGTAGGCACCTATGACAAATGTAATGTATTTGATAACTAATAGTATTTCTTTAAAAAAAAAAAACGAAGCTATTTAAAAAGCCAAAACATTTTTAATTTTGTCATCGACACATAGATTCTAGATCCATATGCCATATGTACAAGTAAGATACTAAAAATGTAAGATATGCTGGTGTATGTATTTGTATTTCAACACCAAAAATTGAAATTGGTTCATCACTAGTTCTTTTGAATGTCACCAATGAAAACATTTAGATCCATATATCCAAAAAGTGGACCAGTAGTACAAACCTATTATGGTCCTGATTATAAAGTTATTTAAACTTTGGTTAGTGTTTCAAGTTTGTTAGAACCATGAAGCATACTGGATATTTAACCCTAGACCAAAAGATTGCCTCCAAGTAAAAAGATCATTTTCATCTTCTCTGTGTATGCACAAGTGGTCGTTTAAATTTAAGCTTAAGATTGTCTATGTAAATTAGTTTATTTTAATTTAGGATTATCGAAGTTATGCATTTCATCAACACTGTCAACATCAAATCAACCATCAACTTTAGGTTACATTGAGTATTTTTATTGAATTATTACATTTGGGCTCAGCCATTAGCCAGTACCTTGCACATTTATGATTCTCTTTTCTCTTCTTGTGCTAAGCAATTTTTGTAAACTTTTACTTTTTACTTTTGCTAAAGTCTGAAGATGTTCAACTGTTCTATACACAGTGGAGAAACGTTAGAAGATTGACCTGTTTTTTCATTAGGTGTCCTGTTTATTTTCGTTGCACTATTACTTTTCCAAAAGTCTTATGTTCACAGGTTTTAAGTTTCTACGATGTCCATGAGTCCCCCTAGCTCTTATGTGTACCTGATTTGATTTGGGGAAAGTAGATAACGTAGTTACACAGTCATCTGCACCATGAACCACCCTGCCTGAAAATAAACATCACAGAATAAGTCTATCACAAAAATATAAATTACTAATCATTATTATCAAATTATGAAATATATTATGCATACGTTGTTAATCTTGACCAAATTCTCTTTCAGACAAGTTGACTAATAATAATAGTAATACACTTATTTATATTTATTATTGATTTAAATACTATATACTACACTATATTAACTAATGTATAATATTTTTCTTCCAATTTTTCTTTAGCTTCAGCTGTGTCTGTTTTCATTTCAAAAGAGGACGGTCTAAAGATTGTGGATTTGTTAAACAAAAACCATGTTTTCACACTGAAGATAACGCCGGGCGTCGAGGGGACAGTGCAAAAAAACAACTCCAACAACAACAGTATCAGCAAGACATCGGTCTTGTTTGTTTCCATTTCATTCATTGTTTTAATGATAATTTCCCTGGCATGGCTGGGGTTCTACTACATTCAGAGATTCAGGTACTCACATGCTAAGGAAAGGCTGGCGGTAAGTTGTATTTATTTAATGACTTAATTTTTAGATTTGCGTAAAGTTGTATTTATTTAAGGATTTAATTTTTAGATAAAGGGTAAGTTGTATTTATTTAATGACTTAATTTTTAGATTGGTGTTAAGTTGTATTTATTTAAGGTTTTAATTTTTAGATAAAGGGTACGTTGCATTCATTTGAGGATTTACTTTTCATATTGGCAGTAAGAATAGTAAGATGCATTTATTTAAGAATTTAATTTTTTAGATAGGCAATAATTTTGCATTTACATAAGGGTTAAGGATACACATTGTTTCTTTCAGACATTTTTCTTTGGGGGCACTTGAAAACTTAATGGGGGAGGGGGGGGGGAGATTGGCGGTAAGTTGTATTTATTTAAGGATTTAATTTTTAGATAAAGGGTAAGTTGCATTCATTTGAGGATTTAATTTTCAGATTGGCAGTAAGAATAGTAAGATGCATTTATTTAAGAATTTAATTTTTAGATAGGCGATAATTTTGCATTTACATAAGGGTTAAGGATACACATTGTTTCTTTCAGACATTTTTCTTTGGGGGCACTTGAAAACTTAATGGGGGAGGGGGGGGGGGCGAAAGGAGACTAAAATTTTCCAGAAAGGGGGGGGGGGGGTGGGCAGAGTAAAAGTATATATTTTCTATATAAATTCTATTAGTTTCATTGAGGAAGTAGATAAATGGGGGTGGGGGGGATTGGATGAGAGGGGGAACATTACACCCCCTCCCTCCTCCAAAGGGGTATACCTGATAAAAACAATGGCGGTAAGAGGTACGGTATTTATTTAATTTAAGGATTTAATTTTTAGCATATAAATTATGTTTACGTTTTTAAAGTAGGACATAGTGTGGTCTAGTAGTCTGACGCTTGTGAAATTGAGTGTTATTGTACAAGATTTTGAGAACCTAGTTTGTTTTCCGATAAAAGTGTTTCACCTTCCCCCCACTTGCAAGCCAATTCTGGTGTGCAGTGGGGTAGGAAGTTAGAGTGTGGAGTGGACAGACAATACTAGGGCTAGTGCCTTGTTATATTGTAGTGAGCAGCGATTGATTCTACTTCCTCTCTGTTGCCTGTCTGTTTAATTTAGCGAAGCCAATGCATAAATTAAATTTTAGTAAAACAATAAAATAGTTAAGTATTTGGATAAAGGCTGTTAATCTGATTATTAATAAAATAATAATTTTTTTTTTAATTTGACCTAAAAAAAATTTTTGGGTTTAAAAAAAGAATTAAACAAAAGAAAAGTTACTGACAACTTACACTTTTAGACTTGAAGCTGTTTAAGAGATAAGGATAAAATGGTTATCTGTTATTGGTTTGTGTACAGAAGGATTGGATGTTGAGATGTCAGTAGGCTACATAGAGACCTTCACATCATGATGTGAGGATTGATGGTGTTACACATCAACACCTTTAGGTGGACAGTCTCTCACACTAGCATAAGACCTTGAAAAAATATGTTAAAATAATGAGAGAAAAAATGTATTTGAATGTTAAATTGCATTCCTCTGACTTAAGTAGCATTTCTAGGCTAATGGGTACTCTTTAGAGCTGAATAAACTCAAGGATTTCCAGACTCTGGTTGGGGTAGCATTTTATTAGTTTTTTCCTAATAATAAACACATAATGAAGAGCATTGTAATTTTTGTGAGAAATATGGTTGTGTTGGTGAGAGGGTGTCATTGAAACCGCTGGGGGGGGGGGGGGGGGGGGGGGGAGATCTGACATTTTGTGATGTCATGGGGGGGGGGGGGGGTGAGGCTGGTATTTTGTTACCATTTGTGTGGTGGAACTTTATTGAGGAAAATGGGGTGATTTGTGATGCCAACTTCAGCAGCCTTAGTGGGTGTTAAAAACTGTTTATAATTTGTTACCTCAGGTTTACTTGTAATATTTGTATAATTTTTTTGGAATTTCTCTCACTGTTTAAATGTAAAAATCTTCCCATTGTTGATAGCTGAATCGCTGAAAAAATAACCAAGCAGTTAAAATAGACAATTTTCACTTAATATTACCAGTAATATTTTTCATTATCTCTTGCCATGGGAGATAACTTAACCCAGCAGAGAAGTGGCATCTCTGAACTAATTGAAACCCTATGGCAATATATTGCTTTAATGAAGCATGTTACCCATTCAATGGCTCACCGACTTTTATGTGCAGGATAAACAGGCTGCATTTTTCATCAAAGCGGAGAATTTTTTTTTGGTTTTAGATGTGTCACATGTTTTCAATAATATGCATGCATTTGGTGTTAAGCTTTGAAAAGTTCTCATAAGTTGGTTCATTTTATCTAAGTTTTAAATATAATAAAATATATATATATATATATATATATATATATATATATATATATATATATATATATATATATACTTTTGTATTTTGTTTATAATGACTTGACAATTGCTGTTTATTTAAACATAAACAATAACATAGTTTGTTATTTATTTTTTATTTATTTAAAAAGACGAGAACATACATGTTAAAATAATGACACTAATGACAGGAGAAATATTTTAAAAATGATTTGAGCCTAGTTTCAAATGACATGAGCATTGTTTCAGATAACATGTTTGTTCATATAATGTCAAGAGTGTTATTTTAAAAATAACATGAGCATTGTTTAAAATCACACAAGCACTGTTTTTAAAATGACATGCACATTATTGATGTTAGTTATGACTTGAACATTAAAAAAAAATTATATGCACATTGTTTATGTTATTATGGTTTAACCATGCTTGGTAACTACTGTTTAGACATATGATGTTTGAGCAGCTAAGAATTTATTTGTACCTAGAACACAGATTTCTAATTTTAGATGTATTTCAATGGCTTTTATACTGGTTCGACTATATATACTACACATACTAAATTTGTTTTGATAGCTATGTAAGAGTGTTTAATGTGGTTTCCAAAAAAATGCAAACAGAAAAATGCAAAAAAAAACCCAACACAACAACTGACTTAACTGACTACTAATGCACTTTAATTTTTTCATATTTCTTAGACTACTTAGAGACATGTTTCATTATTATTAGTCATTTATTCTATAATGTACATGTATTCCTTCTTTGCTAACATGTATAAATTGTTGATTAAAAGAAAATAAATTCCCTTGCTCACTTTTTTCGCATTTTTTTGGTAGGGCATCTTTTTAGTCACCATTTAATGTATTGACACAATTACACTAGAATAATATTATTTAATGGCATTATGTAATGATGTTATGAAACTGACACTGTTGTTTCTCTCCCCCCCCCCCCCCCCCCCCCCCCCCCCCCCCAACAGAGGAGACTGGCCTGTGCTGCCAAGAAAGCCATTGCCAAAATACCTCAGAAAACAATCAAGTCAGGAGATAAGGTGAGTGGTTTTGTGGGTAGTGCTGGGTAGTGGGTTAGGGCTGAGTAGTGGGTTAGGGTTAGTGTGTGAGGGTTAAGGTTAGTGCATTGGTAGTGTGTGGTGGTTAGGGTTAGTGTGTGAGGGTTAAGGTTAATGGCATGGTAGTGTGTGGTGGTTAGGGTTAGTGTGTGAGGGTTAAGGTTAATGGCATGGTAGTGTGTGGTGGTTAGGGTTAGGGCTGGGTAGTGTGTGGGTTAGTGCTGGGTAGTGGGTTAGGTCTGAGTAGTGTGTGAAGGTTAGAGCTGGGTAGTGGGTTAGGGTTAAGGCTGGGTAGTGTGTGAGGGTTAGGGCTGGGTAGTGGGTTAGTGTTAGGGTTGGGTAGTGGGTTAGGGTTAGGGCTGAGTAGTGTGTGATGGTTAGGGTTAGGGCTGGGTAGTGTGTGGTGGTTAAGGCTGGGTAGTGTGTGAGGGTTAGGGTTAGTGCTGGGTAGTGGGTTAGGGTTAGGGCTGGGTGGTGTGTGAGGGTTAGGGTTAGGGCTGGGTGGTGTGTGAGGGTTAGGGCAGGGTAGTGTGTGGTGGTTAGGGTTAGGGCTGGGTAGTGTGTGGTGGTTAAGGCTGGGTAGTGTGTGATGGTTAGGGTTAGGGCTGGGTAGTGTGTGGTGGTTAAGGCTGGGTAGTGTGTGAGGGTTAGGGTTAGTGCTGGGTAGTGGGTTAGGGTTAGGGCTGGGTGGTGTGTGAGGGTTAGGGTTAGGGCTGGGTAGTGGGTTAGGGTTAGGGCTGGGTAGTGTGTGGTGGTTAGGGTTAGTGCTGGGTAGTGTGTGGAGTTAGGGCTGGGTAGTGGGTTGTCACGGTTAGAGATGGGTTGTAGTCTGGTCAGGGCTGGGTTTTAGTTAGGGTTGGGTTGTTAGGGCCCGGTGTGGTAATGAGGGTTAGGGCTGGGGTATATTCAGGGTTAGTGCTTGGTTAGTTTAGTCATGGTTAGTGCTGGGTTATCATTACTGGGTCAGTCTTGTTTAACTCTCACAAGGAGCCTACATAGCTTTAAGCTGAGAGAATTGAGCTAATGAACAACAAGACAGTCAGCACTGTCAACCCAAGCCATACCTTTTCTTTATTTAAATATTTTGTTTGAACTCCTACACTGTGCATAATATTCACATTAATATGCATACTAATGCTTGTGTAATAAAAAACAAAAGTTAAGACATTGTTACCATACAATGAGGTAGCTAGCTACTAATCACATATCAAATTCCTGTAATGTTATTGTATGTTTACATAACAATCAATAAACCTCTACAATCATTGTTTATGGTTACCTAAAAGTACCCCCTCCCCCGTGAGACAATGTCGTTACACCTAAACATACAAGATATTTGTCCTTCTTCAGTAAAGTACAACCCTGTTGTGTTGTTTTAAAACTCCACCACCCAGCTGATAGGGACGTTGTATCAGCGAGTGTCTTGTCGTCAAAATACAGGAAACAATCAGTTTACGACCAGCTGTCATCGCTGGTTAATGTTTTATTTCATCGTTACAGTACAAAGTTATGTACAGGCAGTGGTTCTTTGTCTTTGTCTTCACACCCCTCTCCGTAGCTAGTTAACTGCATCTTATGTTAATCTAAGAAATTTGTTTACCTTGTTAAAAGTGGAACGACCTTTCGGAAGAAATTGTATCCAAGTCTACTTCTCCTCTGTAAGGCATCAATTACCTGTGCTAAGAATTGTAACGTGTACCCCAGTTTGAGAACCGTTGTTGTAAAAGTTGATACTGGCGGATATTTATCTTGAGCGCAGGTTGGAGGTTTTTAAGTGCAGAAAATAAACAAGCATTGCTTGTGGAATTTGGCAGCGGTTCTCGTTCTAGGTTAGGGTGCCCTTCTGTGTTGAGTTGAAACAGGTGGTAGCTTATTTGTGTGATGGTTTTCGTTTCAATAGAGGGTTAGTTGTCGTTCTTTAATTCAGGATTTAGATAATGCAATTGTCTTAGTTAGTTTGTTGATGCAAATATTGCTGTGTAATTGATTTCTAGTTAATGCTAAGATTGTCTGTAATCGATTTCTGGTTAGTGCAAATGTCGCTCTGTAATCGATTTCTAGTTAATGCAAATATTGTCTGTAATCAATTTCTAGTCAATGTTAATGTTGCTCTTTTATTAATTTCTAGTTAATGTAAATGTTGCTCTTTAATTAATTTCTAGTTAATGCAAATGTCACTCTGTATTCGACTTCTAGTTAATGCAAATATTGCTCTTTAATAGAGCTTAGCTAATGCAGTTGTCGATCTAGGCAAATGCAAATGTCGCGTTTGAATAGAAGGCTGGTTGATGCAAATGTCGCTCTTTTATTGCCCTCTACTTGTTGTCAATGAATGAAAAGGATGTCTCGTGTTACATGCTTTAGAAGGCTGAACGGTTTTTTTTGTCTATCAAGGATTATTAGCGTTGGTAGTCGTGTCTGTGCGGTTGCACATTGTGCGTTTGAATTGTGGAAGCTGCACAGTGTGCATTGTGCAGCTTGTGTGTGTGTGTTTGACATATGTGCTCGTCTTTTCTTCCGGATCTATCTGTGTGGGCGAATCGAACTCATTGAGCTATTTAAACTCATTGGGCTATTTAAACTCTTAAGCTCCTCAAACACTTCTGCTGATCAAACTATTTGAGCTAATTAAACATTGAGCCAATCAAACTCGTTGAGCTAATCATCAAACTCGTTGAGCTAATCATCAAACTCGTTGAGCTAATCATCAAACTCATTGAGCTAATCATCAAACTCATTGAGCTAATCATCAAACTCGTTGAGCTAATCATCAAACTCGTTGAGCTAATCATCAAACTCGTTGAGCTAATCATCAAACTCGTTGAGCTAATCATCAAACTCATTGAGCTATTTAAACTCATTGAGCTATTTAAACTATTAAGCTCATCAAACACGAGCTGATCAAACTATTTGAGCTAATTAAACTCATTGAGCTATTCATACTCATTGGGTGAATCAAAGTCATTGAGCTAAAATAAAAAAAAAACACTTGAGCTCTTCAAACTTCTTGAGCTCTTCAAACTGCTTGAGCTAATTAAACTCATTGAGCTAATTAAACTCATTGAGCTAATTAAACTCATTGAGCTAATTAAACTCATCAAGCTAATGATACTCATGGCGCTAGTATAACTCATGATCTAACTAAAATCTTGATCGAACTCATTTGATCACCTTCTAACATCAACCCGCCGCCCCCACCCCCCTTCCCTCCCCACATTACAATGTAATCCTCCCCATCAACATTCCCCCTGTGTATAAGCCAGCTCTGTCTGAAGAGCCTAAAGCACCCCTTTCTACCTGTATTGCATGCCGTTTGTCGGTAGATACTTCATCACCAGGTGAGCTCTGATTGATGGCTCACCTTGCACTGTAGCAGGTAGCTTTTTTTGTGTGAACCTGATTGTGGTGGTAGAGTTGAATAGCGGAGAGCGGTACAAATCTCTTTCACAGTGGCATGCACGATTTGGTTTGTGTCGTGTTGGAGTAGTTGTTGTGTTGAAGTGGTCCTTGAAGCGGTGTAGTGTCTTGAAGACTCAATACAGTAGCTTGATTGGTTGTTGTGGTGTGTACTCTCTGACACATTCGTTATAGGTTATTGTAGTGTGTAGGCTACTCTCTAACACATCGGTCATTGGTTGTTGTTGTAGTGTGTACTCTCTGACACATACGTTATTGGTTGTTGTAGTGTGTACTCTCTGACACATACGTCATTGGTTGTTGTTGTAGTGTGTACTCTCTGACACATACGTCATTGGTTGTTGTGATGTGTACTCTCTGACACATACGTCATTGGTTGTTGTTGTAGTGTGTACTCTCTGACACATACGTCATTGGTTGTTGTGGTGTGTACTCTCTGACACATCGGTCATTGGTTGTTGTGGTGTGTACTCTCTGACACATACGTCATTGGTTGTTGTTGTTGTAGCGTGTACTCTCTGACACATTCGTCATTGTTTGTTGTGGTGTGTACTCTCTGACACATACGTCATTGGTTGTTGTTGTTGTAGCGTGTACTCTCTGACACATTCGTCATTGTTTGTTGTGTTGTATACTCTCTAACACATTCGTCAAAAGGTTTGCTAGTTTCACACGTAAAGAGGGGCTTTGTTAATGTAGACATAGAGTATTCTTACAATGCCGAATGTAGACATACGTACGTAATAGAAAAGCTTCAGTGAGAAACAAACTACATTGCGTGTTTGTTAGCTGCACTGTGGATAGTGGTAAATGAAACATTGCTCAGGGAACGATAGAAAATCTGTATGCATCATTATATAACCGTCAAACCGTCCTTTATAAAAATGTAATGTTAGATGTTGGTTTAATATTTATTGGCAGTCATCATGTCCCCCAACTTTGTAAATACTAATCCACTGTATTAAACCGTCCGCCTTATCCGTTGTATAAAAACTTGTATCCATCATAATATTATATCATATCTATTATGCATGTAAAATACCACAACTACACTTACATCATATGCACCATAAACACCGCAACACGTACCGCCATATTTACCCTACATCACAACTACACGTACCAACATATGTAACATACCCACCTTAACAACACATACGATTAAATTTACTATACACACCACAGTAAACGCGTACCACCATATAAATCCTATCTAACTATTCTAACATTCCTTCGACACAATACTCTCCATATAAAAGTCCTCTTCCATTTCTCCCTTATTCAAACACCACATTAACATACCAAAACTACCTACACTAGTTACATTAAACAACGCCCCACATCCACACAACCCCTATCCCCATTACATCACCCCAAATCCACACAACCCCTACCCCCATTACAACACCCCATATCCACCACCCCCATACTCTCTCTCGTATGTTTCTAAACGCCCCCATGTTGTGTAGGCCTAGATACGATTCTGGCAGCAGCTACCACTGGTCACCGCCGCCCCAATTACAGAACACGCGCTAAAAGTGCAGCGCGCGTGTCGGGGCATCTGG